TGATTCCTCCGCCCCTCTTGGAGAGCCCAGCAAGCTACCCGTGACGTATTCAATATGCCAAACACAGTAACAACAAAATGGAGACTTTACTGGGCCCGCTCGAGCAAACTGATGAACAACAGGAGGACAGGACAATCAGTGCTTATACACATACACAATAGATAAATAATTTTCTTAAAATCTGCCCACTGTCCTGTTTTCCTCCAGGAGAACAACGGGCAAAAATCACTGGTCATGAGTGTGGGGGTCCCAGCCAGTTCAGGAGGTTCCTCTCAGGGACCCAGGCCTGGTGGAGTGAAGATTATGACTCCCCGGCTCCCCGGCCCTAGGGTCTGAGGCTCCTCCTCTTAGAGGTAAAGGACACAGCTTCAGAGGGGAACATAGCTGGTTTCGAATGTGGGTCTGGGGCCGGAGCGATAGTACAACATTTGCCTTGCATGAGTTCGATCCCCAGGATCCCATATGGTCCCCTGAGCAATGCCAGGAGTAACTCCTGAGTGCAGAGGCAGAATTAACCCCTGACCATCCCCAGATGTGACCAAAAAAAAAAACAATAATATTAATACTTTTAAAATAACATAACTAGGGGCTGGAGAGATAGCACAGTAGGTAGGGCATTTGCCTTGCATGCAGCCGACCAGGGTTCAATTCCCAGCATCCCATATGGTCCCCTGAGCATGACCAGGCATAATTCCTGAGTGCAGAGCCAGGAGTAACCCCTGTGCATCGCCGGGTGTGACCCAAAAAGCAATAAATAAATAAATAAATAAAATAACATAACTATTAAGATTTTTTTGTAATGTGTGTCTGTCCTGATCTACATGTCTTGACCTCACCTTCTTCAGCCTGTTTCCTCCTCCAGAGGGTCCATAATGCTTGAAATAAATCAAGGTGGAGTGACAAACAATGTGTTCTTAAGGTGCGAATCCACAAGAAAAACGGAAATGATACAAGTGCCGCGTCAACGGCAACCACCCCCCCGCCCCCCGGCCCAGTGCTGTTTCCTCCTGCTCCTTCCTGCTCACACAGGAAACTGCCCTCCCCAGCCTGCTCCTATGACAGTCCTCCAGGTGGAGGTGACCAGCCGCACTTCCAGGTCGAGGCAGGACACGCTCCCTGTGGGGGGTTCTAGTTCCCCCACTGCAAAGCTAGCCACAGCAGGATCATGGGCAGAAGCTCGGGGTCAAAGGAGCTCACTTCCCAGCTCACTGTACGGTGCCCAGTCTCAAGGGGGACTTTTCAGAGAGGAAAAAAAATAAAGCATGCTTATGTGGGAACTGGAAAGAGTATCCGGGGGTAAGATGCTTGCCTTGCATGCGACCAAGCCCAGTTCTATTCCCTGGTACCCCAGGTGGTCTCTGAGCCCTGTCAGGATCGATCCCCAAGTGCAGAACCAAAAGTAAGCCCTGAGCACAACCAGATAAGGCTCAAATGCCCCCACCACCACCAAAATAGATGGTTCCAGAGAGATAAAGTTGAAGGCATTTATTTGCCTTGCATGCGTCTGACCTAAGTTCAATCACCACAGTGCTCATGGTCCATTGAGCACTGTGGTGATTGAACTTAGGTCATGTGTCCATGGTCCTCCAGGAGTGATCCCTGGGCACAGAGCCAGGAGTAAGCCCTGAGCACATCTGGGTTTGACCCAGAAAAAAATTATAAGAATAATAAATTGGTTTATGTGTTTTGGGGTTTGATGACCCCCGGCTCATCCTCCTCGAATACTCATCATCAACACTGTGTCCAGAAAAACCTCATTTAATCGCAAATAGGCAAGCTAGAGTTGTGGTCTGACAAATGGTCCCCCCGTGGGTGTGGATTTCTCTGGATCCCTGCCAAGTCACTCCCTCCCAGTAGGTTGGTAAGAAGGGAGATAAATACTGGATCTATTTATCACAGGATTTATTACTGAGAGGGTTTATCCCAGAATCTGTTGAAACCAGGTGGGAGGAAGAGGAACGTCCAACGTATGTTTGCTCCATTACGGCAGCCCTTCCCCCACTCTCCCTGCACGCACCCAACTCTGGTCCATCACGCCTCCCCCCCACTCCTGACTGCACACTCTCCCCTTACAGCTGGTCCCGGGGTCCCAGGTGTATCCCACCTGGTGCAGACCTGGAAATGGCTGATATATGACCCGATTTCAGCCACATCTGCCCCGACCACCTTCCCCCCCGCTGGGGCCCACTTTGGTGTCGGTCTGTGCCTCACAAGAGGGACTTCAGCACATTGAATTTAAAAAAAAAAATTAAATAAATCTTTTCTTAGAATAATTGAGCCCAAAAGTGCATGTCCCAAGATCAGTGTGTCTGGAGAATCAAAGAAATGCAAAATCAAATCAAAGCACCCTAGAAGTTGAAGAGCAAGGACTAAAGAATCAAAGATGAGTAGGAACTATGGGATCATTAGGAAAAATAAAACACCGCGGAGGAGAGATCCCAGCTGAGTGCCAGTGGCAGTTTGGCAAGGTGGGCTCTGCTCTCCCCTCAGGCAGTATGAGGAGGGCCAAGTCAGGGAGAGTGGGGAGGGTTAGGGCTAGGGGAAGGGGATTCAAGACAACTGAAGGCAAGGAGAGATGGTCTGAAGCCCCGTGTGGTTCTGTCAGCCCTGCCCCCAAGCCCCCTGCTTCAGGGAGTTAAACTTGACCAGTCTCTCCTGGGTCCACCCTTGAGTTTGACCTTGGTCTGCATTCTTTTGTTTGGTTGATTGATTTTATTTTGTTTTGTTTCGGGCCATGGTCTCATTCTCCTAAAGAGCCCTGAATATAATCTCAGGGCTAGGATGAAGGAGACGTTACTGGGGCCTGCTCGAGGCAATCGATGAATAACAGGATGGTCATGATTCGTGATTCGTGGGCCATGTTCAGGGCTTACTCTGGACCTGCACTCAGGGATCACTCCCAACAGTTCTCAAGTGTCCATTTGGGATGCCAGAGATTGAACCCACGTCGGTCATGTGCAAAGCAAGTGCCCTACCTGCTGTACTGTCCCTCCAGTCCCCTTGGTCTGCATTCTTGCTGGATCTGCCTTGCCCAAGGTAGAGCTTGAATCCTGCTAACTCAATTCAGAGATACTTGGTACCCAGCACCCAGCCAAGCTTTAGCAAGAAGTTCATTAGGTTGGGCATTAGTAGGGCAGAGAGATGATACAGTGTTTAAGGCACTGGCCTTGCAGACAGTGCACCCCGGGTTAATCCCCAACACCAAGTCTGGTCCCCTGAGCCCCATCAGGAGTAATCCCTACTACAGAACCAGGAGTCATCTCTAAACACCTCCACACGCGCACGCACACACACACACACAGAATCCTTTTAGGGGCCAGAAAAAGAGTACAGCACATAGCATGCTTGCCTTGCACATAGCTCATCCAGGTTCAATCCCCATCACTGCCTATGGTCCCTCCAAGTCCCACCAGGAGTGATCCCTGAGCACAGAGCCCAGAGGAAGCCCTGAGCACCATCAGATGTGTCCCCTTCCTCCCTCCCCCCAAAAAAGAGGACTTCACCTGACCTCCGATATATTCTCTTAGCGACTTTCCGCCCGCCACTCACACCCACCTCTGATGCTGTACCCGGGGCTGGTCCCGCTCCTGCCGGCCTCAGCAGTGCGGACTAAAGGCTTCCTTACCATTTGTGTCCCAAATCATCTGACTTCAAAGACCCCAGAGCCACCCCGATGGGGGCCACGTGGATCCCACATGGAGGGCCTGGTCTCCACACGGAAGCTGCATGTTATGCTCTGGGAGAACCGTGATCCCCCACGTGTCCCCTGTATTCCCTCCTGCATGCAGCCCAGAGTCTCCAGACCACATGAGCGAGCAGCCAATCTCCCCGCACGGCCCCTGGGAATGCAGTGCAGTCCAGAATGTTTATTTGGGGACATTGACTGGCTATTTCCTACAGCAAAGTACCTACCACGTGGCAGTGAAGCATTTTTAAGAACAAGTATAAAGACCGAGTATATAGAAAAAAGCATTAAGAGCCCCTATAAAGTATAGAATGAGCGTAAAACACGCCAACACCTGGTCATGCAGATTTCTCCTCTTAAAATTTTATACGTTGTTGGGGCCGGAGATGTTAGTCTAGTGCTATTTGCCTTGCACCTGGCCAACGTGGGTTCAATCCTCAGCACCCCAGAGTGTCCCCTCAGCCCCGCCAGGAGTGATCCCTGAGTGCAGTGCCAGGTGGGTCCGAAAACCAAACAATTTAAAAAAATTGTACGCATTGTGTTTCGCTTTCCCTACATCTGCTGTCTTCGTCATATCTGAGTAGGTTGGTCAACATTATTTGCTTGGTCACTTTTCAGAGCTCAAAGGCTTGAGACCCAGCAAATATTCTATTTATCATCAATTTTTTTTAAATCACGGAGCTCAGGGCTGGAGTGATAGCACAGCAGGTAGGGCGTCTGCCTTGCACACGGTTGACCCAGGTTTGATTCCCAGCATCTCATATGGTCCCCCGAGCACCACCAGAAGTAATTCCTGAGTGCGGTCCCCTGAGCACCAACAGGAGTAATTCCTGAGTGCATGAGCCAGAAGTAACCCCTGTGCATTGCAGGGTGTGACCCTAAAAGCAAAAAATAAATACATAAATAAATAAATAAATCGCTGCATCTCTGTCACAGTCATCCCATTTATGTTCAATTGACTCGAGTGGGCACCAGTAACATCTCTTATTCCTCCCAGCCCTGAGATTTTAGCAACCTCTTCTTATTCAGTTTCTCCCAAAATTGGAGGCTCTTTCAGGATCAGGGGAATGAGACCTGTTGTCGTTACTGTATTTGGCATATCAAATACGCCATGGGGAGCTTGCCAGGCTCTGCCCGTGCATGCGGAATACTCTGTGAGAGGCATACATAGATAGGAAGTGTCTTATAATGTGTAAGTCTGGAAAGCTTCTTGGCGTGTGGCGGTGGCTGGGGAGTGGAGGTCGGCTGCCAGGGCTGGGTCCCTTGGGTGGGGAAGGCTTTCACCCGCCCCACAGCCTGGCGCGAGTCTGGCAGCATGGTTCTGGGGATCTCCTTTTACATTCCCATCTGGGAGGAGCATCCGTGAGTTCTGGAGGGTGGTCAATGAAGAGATTATCTGGTGCCGGCAGGGTGTGGCTTATGGGTGTGATCCCTGAGTCACCGGAGACTGGCGAAAGCAGGCAGAAGATCTCTGTTCCGGGTCCCATTGAGTCCAGAGTCCAAGATCACAAAGTTCGACATTATCTGGGTTCCGAAGGACTTCATTCATGCTTGAGGCTCGACCTGATAAATAAATACATAAATAAATAAATAAATAAATAAATAACGGAGTTCTTTCCTGGACAATTACACTGTGTTACACTTGCTACCATATTCTCTTCAAGGATCTTTTGACTGAAATCCACTATTAGCGTGGGACTCTGCTAATACTCTTCAATCCATGCCGTGTGGACAGAGGATCCAGGTTGGTGCCTGCAAAATGGGTGGTTGTTAAGCTGGTGTTGGTGATATCGGGAAATGCAGCCGGGACACGGGTAGGGCCAAGGCGCCCAGCCAGGGCCTCACCCAGGCCAGGCAGGATCTGCCACTGAGCCACAGCCCCCCGACCCCAGTGCAAGGTACTTTTTCAGATAAAACCCAAGAAACAAAATGGGCGGATGGAAAGTAGGAAGTGAGCTGGAGGTTCTTCCAAGCGCTTTGTTTTTGTAGCCCAGAGAGCTCTCATCCCTTGGGGCCAGCAAGCACAGCTGGGGGTGGGGCGTCCGGAGACCAGGCTGAAGTCAGCACCATCGCTCTTCCCCTTCACGTGCTCCCTGTGCCAACCGGCCGGAAAGCCTAGTGACTCTTTCCCCAGCCAGACAGAAAGCTTGAGCGGTTTTCCAGCACGTTTGAGGCCCTCTTTGATAAATCGCCCACTTTGGTTTTATAGATGGTTGGAGCCCACGGGTGGGAGTGCCTGCTGACAGTTCTGCATCCTGCTGGCCCAAGGGTTGCCCCCTCCCAACTGACCTCCCAACTGAAACACAAGAGGCGAAAAACAAACGTCCCTATTAAATCTCTTCCAGCTGCAAATACCCAGAGGGGGTTCTGCTGTCCTGATGCATTTTGACAGAAAGCAAGTGAGGAGAGGAGAGACAGGCGGGCAGGTAGACAGGGAAGGAAGGAGGGAAAGAAGGAAATAAGGAAGGGAGGGAGGGAGGGAGGGAGGGAGGGAGGGAGGGAGGGAGGGAGGGAGGGGAGAAAACAAGAGAAAGAAAAGAGGGAGAAGGAAGGAGGGAAGGAGGGAAGGAAGGAAGGAAGGAAGGAAGGAAGGAAGGAAGGAAGGAAGGGAGGGAGGGAGGGAGGGAGGGAGGGAGGGAGGGAAGGAGGGAGGGAAGGAGGGAGGGAAGAAAGGAAAAAAGGAAAAAGGAAGAAAGGAAGATGAGATGAAGGAAAGAGGGAAGAAAGAAGAGGAAGGGAAATGAGGACAACAGAAAGGAGCAAAGAAAGGGAGGGAGGGAGAGAGGGAGGCAAGGATGGAGGAAAGGAAGGAAGGGAGAGGAGGAAGAAAGGGAGGAGAGGAAAGAAGGAAGGGAGGGAGGGAGGGAGGGAAGAAGGAAGGAGGGAAGGAATCAGTGATGTTCAAGCCCACCAGGGTGATTCCTGGCAGTGCCTGAGCGCCCTGCGGTGCTGGGACAGATGCTGGGGTAGAACCCAAGTCTCACACACGCATGCACGTGCCCCACCACTTGGGTCACATCCCAGCCCCTCCCCTTTTTGACACATTGACAGAGCCTGAACCATCCTGTCTCACACCTGGATGCAGTTTAATTAGCACAAATCCCAGGGCTGGCATTAATGTGTTGACCAGTCCCCATTTCCACAGGGAGGCCAGCCCTTCACACTCCCAAGTCTGACCTCAGGTTTCCGGTCTGTGAAATGGGCCCACAGCTGTACAGTCCTCACTTGGCTAAACACCTTCGCCCATGACCCTTCGCCACTTCCTTGCCACTTCCAGGTGTGGAGCCTTGTCAGGAGCCTCGGGTCCCTCCCCTGGAAGAAGGTCACGCTCCTTCCTTTGACCTCACCGTGGCACGGAGGCAGGAAGTAGGTATGGTGAGTCTTTGTGGGTGGCAAACTCGAGAGAATACAGGAGTGAAGGTGTTTGGGTCCATCCAGCTCAATGCCCGGCACCACACATGGTTCCATGATCACTGCCAGTAGTGATCCCTGGTCACAGAGCCAGGAGTAACCCTTGAGCTTCTCCTGATGTGACCCCAAAACCTCCCCCAAGAAGGTCTTTGTTGAGTGATGCCAAAAGTCCAACAATAGGCTGAGCGGATGTGAGCCAATCAGCTTCTGGAGTGGCCCCGACGTGGTCCTCCTGTGTCCCCCAAGAACCCCCTCAGCATCAGTCTTCATCACCTGCATGCCTACAGCTCCACCTGGACGCCAGGCCCCATAGCATCATCCCCCTCGGGAAGGATCCTGTCTCCCTGCTCTGGGCCTCATTCCTCCTCATCTGTGAAATGGGACCAAGCACCATTCTTCTGCAGATTTGCATGGCGGGGGTCCCCTCTGCAACTGTGACGGGGGATAGAGAAGGTCGGGAATGACCTGAGGTCACATAACACTTTAGTGGGGCCCCAGGCTCTTGTGCCCCTCCCTCTAAAGCCCAGATCCATACATACTCTGTGATTGCAGGAAAGGATATCACCCTGCCCTCTTGTCAGGGGAAAATACTTCCATTGAAATTCTTTGGGCTTGAGGCAGAGTAAAGTTGCTGACGGCCGGCTTGCCACCACCGTGGCGATTTGTAATGTTGATGAATCAGGAGCCGGGCCTGGCGCTGGCCGTGGGTACCAGTGCCCGGAATATTCATGAGCTCAGCGGCCATGGCTGGCCCCGACCACTTCCCTTTACAGCGCCATTATTCTCCCGTAGCTCATCACTCACACAACACACACTGCCCAGGCCACCCACACACAGTACGTGCCCCCTGGCCCCCTGGCGGGCTCCATGCCAATTGTCAGCCCTGATAGGACAACTGGCCCATCACCTCTGCCCAGGGACCTCGTGGGTCAATAAGAAAACTCATCATCCCACCAGCACCCTGAACAAAAGCGACTTCGAGTTCCAGCCGATTGAAGGGCAAGGCAGAATTTGGCTGTTCCCACCCACAAGTCTTGACCTGCATATTTTTTTTTCTGGATCAATCTCTTCAACTTGCCCTCTGTGGCTCCCTGGGAAGGGGAAATATATATATATATATATATATATATATATATATATATATATATATATTCCCGGGTATGATCTGAGTAGCCGCGTGCTTTTCTGGTTAAACATTTATACGACAGCTTTGTGGATAAACAGATTCATACATGTGCGTGCATGATGAGGATTAAATATTAAGGAGACACACAGGCAGGGATGAGGCAGCTGGAAGGCAGAGTGAAGGCGGGGGCACAGTGTCGGATCTGAGAGGAGCGGAAGGAGAAGTCATTAAGAGCCTCAAGGTTGACCCATGGTCGGTCGGGGGCCGGCACCCCCGGGGGAGAGCAGCCTAATGAGGCCTCGGAGAGCCCAAGGTCTTTGCTCTCCCTGCCCTCTCTTCCCCCCTGCCTGATTGCCCTCCTCCGAGGCAGCGCTGGCAAGGGGGCCGCCTTCTCTTCCAGCCTTTGCTGGACCGCTCTGAATCTGACTGCATTTACAATTTTTTATTTGATGAGGTTTTTACGAGCCAACTCGCTCTAACGTGGCATGCGTGCGCGCACACACACACACACACACACACACACACACACACACAGTGAGGGCTACGTCAGTGGCCTGGCAGAGCCGCGCATGGAAATGATTCTAATTACGGGGCATCATCTTGATCATCTTGGTACTCGCATGCAAGAGGATATACCCAAAACCCCGCATGGCAGAGGTAGGCAGACAAGTCATTTAGCAAGGACCCCTCCCTTCATCCCTTGATTAGGCATTTGGAATGTGGAGATGGGTGATGGCCTGAGGCAAAGTGGTACCCAGGAGCCCCACCTCACGGCTCCTCAGATGCACCCAGCAGACTCCAATGGACTCGTCCAATTAGCTTCGCACTACTCAGGCGGGCTGCGAGGGGGACTTTAGAAGCTGCCCAAGGCATCACGAGAACACCTCCTCCCGGCAGCCTCCCAGCATTCAGCATCCCAGATCCAGGGGCTCAGGAAAGGCGCCCACTAGAGGAAGGGAGGACCTGGAGCTGCCAGCCTGTCATATGACTTCTTCTGGCCAATGAAATGAGAGCAGGTGTGCCGTCTCTGCATCCTTGCCCCTGGGAGGAAAAGTCGCCGTCGGGGCAGGCATCTCCTGCTGTCTTTCTGCCCTGCCCCTCGCCCAGACCAGCAATGTGCATGAGAGTCCGCGCTAGGAGCCTGAGACGCTGAAAGCACGGGTGGAAGCTGAGCTGCACGCCCAGGTACGGTGTGATAGGCTTGGTGGAGGCGGATGGGCTGGACCTGGCAATAGAGCAAGAGGCAGCTGGGCTGGTCGAGGCCGCCCCTCGCATGTAGGAGACCCCCGGTTCCATCCCGGGTACCACAGGGTTCCCCCAAGCACTGCCGAGCATGACCCCCAAATCCCAAATGTAGAATTAAATCATCATACCTTTATCTTGTTGTAATTGCTGCTGCTGCTTGTTGGAGTATTACTGTCCCTGTGGGCCGAGTTGAGACTGGTGTTCTCGAGTCTGGCCTGGTGGTCACATTCGCTCCAGTCAACGTTACAGCTGAAGTGAAGTCTGTGGAAAGGCACCATAAAGCTCTCAGCGAAGCTCTTCCTGGGGACAACGTGGGTTTCAACGTCAAGAACGTGTCTGTTAAAGACATTCGTCGCGGCAGTGTGGCTGGTGACAGCAAAAATGATCCTCCAATGGAAGCTGCAGGCTTCACAGCTCAGGCGGTTATCCTGAACCATCCCGGTCAGATCAGTGCTGGTTATGCACCTGTCCTGGATTGCCACACCGCCCACATTGCTTGCAAGTTTGCTGAGCTGAAAGAGAAGATTGACCATCGTTCTGGGAAAAAGCTGGAAGATGGCCCCAAGTTCTTGAAATCTGGTGACGCTGCCATCGTTGATATGGTGCCTGGCAAGCCCATGTGTGTTGAGAGTTTCTCTGACTACCCTCCTCTGGGTCGTTTTGCTGTTCGTGATATGAGGCAGACTGTTGCTGTGGGTGTCATCAGAGCAGTGGACAAGAAGGCAGCTGGAGCTGGCAAGGTCACCAAGTCTGCCCAGAAGGCTCAGAAGGCTAAATGAATATTATCCCCAGTACCTGCCACCCCAGTCTTAATCAGTGGTGGAAGAATGGTCTCAGAACTGTTTGTCTCAATTGGCCATTTAAGTGTAATAGTAAAAGACTGGTTAATGATAACAATGCATCGTGAAACCTTCCGAAGGAAAGGAAAATGTTTTGTGGACCATTTGTTTTGTGTGTGTGTGTGTGTGTGTGTGTGGCAGAGTAAGTTATTAGTTTTTAAAATTCAATACTTTTTAATGGAAACAACTTGACCAAATATGTCACAGAATTTTGAGACCCATTAAAAACAAAGTAATGGGTGGCTGGAGCAATAGCACAGCGGGTAGGGCATTTGCCTTGCATGCAGCCGACCTAGGTTCGATTCCCAGCAACCCATATGGTCCCCCAAGCACCGCCAGGAGTAATTCCTGAGTGCATGAACCAGGAGTAACTCCTGTGCATGGCTGGGTGTGATCCAAAAAGCAAAAAAAAAAAAAAGTAATGGGAGTGACTCAGGAACACTGTGATGGGTGAAACCTGATAAACCTAAGCTCCTTGTACTCCAACAGATGCTGCTTCTGTTGTTATTGTTGTTGTTGATTTGGGGGCAGACGGGGGGGCTGCTCCGGCAGACGGGGGGGGGTGCTCCTTCCTCAGCCCACCCCTATAAGCACTGCTTGTGGCTATGTTTGGACATAGGGTCTCTGGTGAAGGTTAAGAGGGTGGGCCCCTCTGATCAGATGGAAGCAATGTCCCAATAATAAGAGACAACCAGGGTAGGTAAGGCCCTCACTGTGCACGTGGACAACCCACGTTCCATCCCCAACACCCCACAAGGTTTCCTGAGGAGTGATCCCTGTGGGCAGAGCCAGGAATAAGCTCTGAGCAGTACCGGAGTGGCTCAAGGACATTTAGTCTCTGTCCCTGTCCCTGAGTCTGTCCTTGTCTCTGTCCCTCCCTGCTTCTGCCCCTGTCCCTCTCTCTGACACTGTGCCTCTCCCTGCAGGCTCGAAGAGAAGAGGTCACGTGACCTACTGGTCAGCTGATCCTGCTGCACCTCTGCCATGGACACTGGCCTCCAGTGCTCGGAGCAGCTCGGCCGCGCTGATAAACAAAACATGAGGATCAACAGCATCAATGAACACGGCCGGAATGAGAGCAGTTCAGGGTGGCGAGGAAGGAGTGAGGGTCCACCTCCTGGCAAGATGCTTCATATCAGGCCCCAACCAAGCTGGGCTAAGGGAGGCCCAGGCAGAGGCCGAATATTTATTCCATTTTTCTTGTCAAGTGTTGCTTGTACTTTTGTTTTGGTTTTTGTTCCGGGGATGCACACATGGTGCTCAGGACTTACTCCTGAGTCTGTGTCAAGGGATAATTCCTGGTGGGGCTTAGTGGACACTAGGGGCTGCCAGGGATTGAACCCCATACAAGGCCAGACTTTAAACCCTGTACCGTCTCTTCAGCCCCAAGAGCTTTATTCCTGAGTGTGTCTGTGAAGGTGTTTCCAGAACGGCTGGGGAGATAGAACAGTGGGGAGGGCATTTGCCTTGCACGCAGCCGACCCGGGCTCGATCAATCCCGACATCTCATTTGTTCCCCCAAGCACTGTCAGGAGTTGATTCCTGAATGCAGAGCCAGGACTAATCCCTGAGTATCACGGGGTGTGCTCCCACCAAAAGAAAACAAGTACTAAGTGTCTAACAAAATAAAATAAAACATTCAATAAAAGACTCGCCAATGCAGTGAATTCTTCTTCAACCCAACAAGGGTGCAAGAGAAACAAATTATGGGAAGCAAACACAAGTTCGCTCTCTGTTTGAGCTGGGACACTGGTCTTCTCTGACCCTCATACATGAACCTTCATCGTTCTGGGGCTTCAGATGCACCAAGATATCCCATTGCTCCTGTGACTTTCAGTCGGAGCTGTACACCCCAACCTGCTTCCCCGTCTCCAAACCACGGGGCCCTCTTCATCATCAACTTCTTCCTCTTTCCCCAGGCCCCTGTGGTCCTGTTTCTCTGCAAGTCCCGACTCCTGCTCCCCCGGCTGACTCCTTTCTGTGTTCCCCTCGGCTGATACCAGAAAGAAGCCCCAGGGCACATGCAGGGTCCTCCATGGGAAGTGCTCTGGGTATGCATCCCATGGAAAAGAGGAAAAAGAAGTAGAGTGGTGAGCAGAAGGAGAAGTGGAGCCATGATGAAAGGGGAGGGTCCCACCAAAGTCCCAGTGGACCTCCTGGAGATGGCTGGAGCTGGAGGACCCTTCAGAGCACCCCTCAGTGGAAACAAGAGGTCACCCTTCACTCCCCTGCACCTTCAGCCATAGAACAGATTTTCCCCAGGGAGGAAAGACCTGGGGTGGCCCCCTGGCATTGAGCTGAGCCCCCACCCACACCCAAGAAGGCAACAAAGCAGCTGTTAAGAAATAAATACTCAGGGGCTGGAGTGATAGGACGACAAGGAGGACACTTGCCCTGCACGCAGCCAACCTGGGTTCAATCTCCGGCATCCCATATGGTCCCCCAAGCACTGCCAGGAGTGATCCCTGAGTGCAGAGCCAGGAAGAACCCCTGAGCATTGCTGATGTGACCCAAAAAGAGAAAAGAAAAGAAGAGAAGAGAAGAGAAGAGAAGAGAAGAGAAGAGAAGAGAAAAAAGAAAAGAAAAGAAAAGAAAAGAAAAGAAAAGAAAAGAAAGAAGAGAAATGCTTCTGGGGCCAGACAGTGCAGCAGATGTATTCTTGCCTTACATGTAGCCAACCCCAGTTCAAACCCCGACATCTTTTTTGGTTCCACAAGCCCTGCTAAGAGTGCTCCCTGAGCCCAGAGCCAGGATTCAGCCCTCAGTAAAGCCAAGTATGTACCCCAGAAAGAAAAAAAAAAGTAAAAATACTTTTCTTCAAAAGGGATCTTGGCCAGGCATGAGAGCAGCTGACTTGGAAAGCAACTTAAACCATTGGGACTTTGATTTTTTCAGAGGCTAAGCAGGGCACATAACACAAAGCAATAGCCCCAACTCTGTAGATAATTTGTGAGATGATGACCGAGCCAGGCCCCAGGCTAAGGCCTGAGCATACACATCAGTTCCAAGAAATATTTGAGGATCAAGTCCAGTGCACGGTGAACGACAGACAGCGGGTGGAAATTATTCTTCACCTTAAATACGTGCACATCTTTTCACAGGCCTTTTGGCATGAGCTTCCTCTTCTGCCCTGAGTGGTCAGAGGAATCACTAAAGAGTGTCCCTGTCAGTTCATGCCTCTGCCCGACACCCAGCAAAGCCCCTGTGACCTTCCAGGTAATGCCCCTGGTACTCCCTGGGGCTCCCGATTGCTTTTACTAATCCTTCCCCTCTTCCCCCAATATTTCCCGGGTATCCTGACCAGATGCAGCCAAGGGTTTTCTAGAAAATCTTCTACTCCCAAGCCTTTACAGACACCATCCCACCCATCCCATCTCTCTCCCACTGTGTGAACTCCAACTCCTTTCTCCACTAGAGCCTCACCTCCTTTGGGAAGCCTTTCCTGACCCCCAGACTGGCCAGCGACTCCCTCCCCTTGGCCCTCCCACACCTTGGAGTCTGAGTACCCCTCGGGAGAGACCGTCCCATTAGGCCTCCAATTCCATAAAGCTGCCAGAGCAAGAGGGATTTTGAATTCTGTGAAAACTTGTGTTTGTTTGTTTGTTTGTTTTTTGTTTTGTTTTGTAGCCACACCCAGCAATGCTCAGGGGCTCGTCCTGGCTCTGGACTCAGGAATTACTCCTGGCGCAATCAGGGGACCATATGGGATACCGGGGATCAAACCTGGGTCGGCGGTGTGCAAGGCAAGCGCCTTACCTGCTGGCCCTGAAGTCATGTTTTTAAATTTTATTTTTAATTTTATTAAAGCACGGTGATTCACAGTGATTCACAGTTGAGTTTCAGAAAACCAATGTTTCAGCACTGATCCCACCACCAGCGTCAACTCCCCTCTGCCAATGTCCCCAGGTCCCCTCCCATATCCCACTCCCCCCACCCCCAACTCACACACACACACCAGTCTGCCCTCTTGACAGGCATCTTTTTCGGTTTGGTCGTTAAGGTTTGGGTCTCTTGATTTCAATGTTGTTGACACGTGGGGGGGGGTTGAATATTCAGCCCTGTCATTCCTTAACACCACCAATGTATCCCCTTGACCCCTTACCCCTATTGCTTCTCATCTGTCTCTTCTTCCCCCTGTGCTTAATTTCTTTCCTTCTCCTCCCTATACTCTGGGGCCAAGGTTGATCAGCACACCCCCCCCCTTTAAACCACTGCATGCCTTCGTCCGGTTATTCTGAATACCACATGTAAGTGAGATCGTCCTGTGCACTTCCCTCTTCTTCTGGGCTTACTTCATTTAACGTGATATTTTCCAGTTCCATCATTGTTGCAAGCATGATTTCATCATTCCCTACAGCTGCGTAGTATTCCATTGTGTACCACCTCTTCACAATCCACTTGTTCGTCATTGGACTTCTAAGTTGATTCCAAATCGTAGCTATTGTACTGAGTACTGCAATGAAAAATGGTGTGCGTATGTCCATTTGAATGAATAGTTTTGTGTCCTGGGTGTAGATACCCAAAATGGAATTGCTGAGTCATACGACTCCTCAATTCTAAGTTGACTGAGGATTCTCCACATTGTTTTCCTGAGGGGTTGAACCAGACAACACTCCCACCAGCAATGGATAAGAGTTTCTTTTTCACTACATCCCACCAACACAGATGGTACCCAGTATTTTTGAGAAGTACCATTTCGCTGATGTAAGATGGTGTCTCACTGTCATCTTGATTTGGATTTCCCTGATAATGGTGAACATTTTTTTCATGTGCCTATTAAATAGTGAGATCTTCTTTTAAATTAGATTTAATTGGATTTCTGAATTCCTGTCCTGTCACTGGGTGTCCAGGAGGGGATACACAGTAGGAGGTCAATACACGCTCACCTGCTGCGTGACTATCTGGCCAAGTCCTTCACAGAAAAAGGCTGGGGAATGAGAAAACGTTGCTGGTATCTTGGTGGAACCAACCTAGAAATTCCATCGGAAACTCTTAGAAACTGGTTCTAATATCCTCACCCCCAGAGAAGTCAATGAGAAGTTCAGGCTGGTGGCTTCTGTTGTCCCTGGTAATCGCTGGAGTGTCCTGAACACCGGGTCCTGCTCTCCAAAATAGCAGA